CCCCCCCCCCCCCCGCCTCCCCTTACACTTGACCTCTCCCAGCACAGCCCCCGGCCCTGTCCCAGTGGCCCTGACTCAGCTCCCGCTGCCCCCAGCACTCAGCACCCAGCACCCCTCCCCACGTCTGTCTGCTTGCTGCTGAACAGCCTGGCGGGTGAATTTCATGGAGTCTTGGCTCTGCGACCCCCTGAGTCCTTTCCCCTCTCAGAGCTTCAGTGCCCCGAACAGATTTCTCGAGGCTGTGGTCCCCACCCTCTCAGCTTCGTGTGGCGTGTTTGTGACTCTTTATTCAACTGGCAGCCCCCCTACCCCAGTGCCTTCCCTGGTGCTGGGTGCTGGCAGTGCAGAAGGGAGCAAAATTAAGTCCCTACCTGTGAGGAGGCTCCCAGCACCAGCAGGAAGTGTATAAACAGAACATTACCATACAGAGCGCTGGGTGTGTTGGGCTAAGGCGAGAGGGGGAGGGGCGGCAGCCACGGGGCTGGGAGGAGGTGGCTGGGGGCAGGGGGCCGGGGCCGGGGTGGGCAGGACAGGTGCCAACCTAGGTCGCAGAGATGTCCATCCCAGCCGTCCTTGCAAATGCACTGCCAGGGCTCCACACAGAGTCCATTAACACAGCCGGGAAAGGTCACGCACTGGTCACACAGGGGACCCTGCCAGCCAGGCTGGCACCTGCGGGGGTTAGGGAAGAAAGGTGGGGACGTATGAGGGGGGGCAGGGATGGAGAAGGGGCTCCGGTTGCTTTCTGTGGAACCAAGAGCCCTCGCGGGTCTCTGCCCAGTGCCAGGCCGGTGGGTCCCAGGAAACCAATACCAGTCACCTGAATGGAAAAGCTTAAACAGGAGACCATCTGGGGAGCAGGCAGAGGGGTCCCTGAGAGCCAGAGGAAGAGCTGCGTTTTGCCGCAGTGGCCTGCAGTGGTGTCACCTGCAAGAGGCTCTCCCGCCACCCACCCCTCTGAGAAAGCCGTCCTGTCCCCGCCACCGCTCCCAGCATCCCCCGCCTCCCTGTCCTCTTGTCCCCCTCACCCCCACCCCACGTCACTGGTTTCCTGCGGGGGCGAGGAAGCTGTTTGCTGCAGTCCAGGGGCCAAGCCCTCCCCGTTTTTTCTGCCTGACATCATGACTCCCCAGAATTCTGCCCTGGCCCTCCAACACGCTGCCTCTGGGGAGCCGCTCCATTACCTGCAAACATTGTCATCCTCGCAGAATCCATTTTGCGGGTGGCAGGCCGGGAAGCATTCAGCTCCTGAGGCACAAGAAAGGTTACACCATTCACCCCACGAGGCCCTACAGGCTGTGGCAGAGGCCACCGACGGCCTCCCAGGAGGCAGCCTCCGACCCTCTGTGGCCCTACCCACTGGGCACACAGTAGGCACTTCATCCCAACCCACTTAGGAGAAAAATCTCTGCATGTCCCTGGTTATGGAGTGACCACAGCCCACTGCCTAGCTCCTAGGACCAGGTCAGACACCCAGTGTCCCTCAAAGAAATTACAGGGGCCAAATCCTAAATGCAGGAATGAGGAGACAGTGAACGAGAACGGAAAGATTTTGACCCCTGGGCACTCGGCCAAACCCTCACTTTTGCCAAGTGAGCTAAAGGCAAGGGGGGGCGGGGCCAGATTTTGAGGTATTCAGCTCCGGGGAAGCCCAGACAGGTTCACCTGGAGAGCTCACAGGTAAGGCGTCTGGAGTTTTTTAAAGGTTAATCCCAGTTAAGCCAGGCACCCAGGTCAAACTCTCAATTTTCCCCACACCAGGCTCTTCATACTAAAAAGACGAACAAGGGTTTTGCGGAAAAGACCATACTTCTGACACTACTTAGAGATTCTGACACTTTAGTAGGCACCTACTGTGTGCAGTGCCTGTAACTCCCGCCAGCTTTTCCGACAGGACCCCCGTCACCACTGGTGCAGCGGGCTGGGAGACCCTGCGGGAAGGGGGCAACTCTCTCGCTGTCAGAGACATATGGCCGCCACAGACAGGAGTGTCGCAGCCCCTCACCTAGACAAACGCCACGCAGGAGGGGCTCGGGCTGGGCTCCCAGCTGGCAATTTGAGGCGACGACGGCAAAGTTACCCCCCCACAGGCCTGTTCCCGAACGCACACGCAGGAACCCCCCAAAGTTGAACCCCAGAGCATTTTCACAGAGGGCTCCCCCGCATCACCTCGTTTCTCCATACCTCCTCTCTGCACACCGACACCCTGCGAGCGCCACTTCTGCGGGGCGGGAAGGGGCCGGGGTCCCACAGCTCCCCCGCCCCCGGGGACCCCAGGGCCGGGCTTGGCATGCGAAGGTGGCAGGGAGGACCAGGCAGGCGCGGCGCGGGGCTTAGGATTAGGCGGGACGGGCGGAAGTCGGGGCGCGTGGGACGGGGCGCGCGGGGCACGGTGGCCGGGGGGGGCGTCGCAGGCTTCCCCAGAGGGGGCGCGAGCCAGACCGCCGGGGGGCTCACCATGGGCACTGCGGCCGAAGGCCAGCAGGAGCAAGAGGACGGGCAGGAGGGCTGCGGTCGCGGTCATCGCGGGGCGGCCGGGGTCGCGGTCCCGGGAGCGGCGCGGGCGCGGGTCCGGCTCCGGGCGCCGCGCTGGGCTTCTGGTTGCGGACGCGGAAGGGGGCGCGGGCGCGCGGCGAGGGGAAAGCCAGGGCTGCACCGGGCTGCGCGCTGCGCTCTCCGCTGCCGCCGCCGAGCTGCCGCCGCCGCCGCGCGCGCCGCCCTTTTCGTACC